GCTTCAGAAATTAGGGGTTCAGTGTGTGGGAGAGGTGTGCAGTAGGAGTATCTATAAGGGAGGGTGCAGGAGCAGGCAGGTAATGGGGCTGGATTGAGGTAAGCGATGGGATGTAGATTCCCCATCCCTACTCTACACTAAGGCTGCGTCTACACTGCAGGCTTTTTGTGCAAGAACAGGTGTTGCACGCGCATTCTCGTGCAAGTAAATTTACAGTACAGCATCGAAAAACAGGGCCTCTTCCAGAAGAGTTATTTCTCTCCCCAGGAGGAATAAGCCCTTTTGTGCAAGAGCTCTTCCAGAAAAGGCAGTGTAGACAGGCAACATGAATTTCTTGCACAAGAAACCCCCTATGTTTAAAATGGCCATCAGAGCTTTCTTGCACAAGAACATCCACACTGCCATGGACGCCCTTGCGCAAAAGCACATCTTTTGCACAAAAGCACATAGTAGTGTGAACGCTCTCTTGAGCAAATACTTTTAATGGGAAAACTCAAAATTTGCGTGGCATCGGCACTGGGGAAGGCTTCGGTGCCGTTGGTAACTTAGGTACCGGAAGAGTCGCGGGCTGCAGAGCCAAAGTGCCGCGGTTGTGCTTCGCCTTAGATGGGCCATGCAAAAGTGGCTCTCTCCCAAAAGGTGTATTGCCTCTGCAGAGCAATGCTGAGTCTCCCTTTTCTCTGTGTTGGAGAATAACTACAAATTGAGATTGAGAAGCATTTATTCCTTGGATGTATAAAACATTGGGATCCAGCCACTTATGCACTCCTGTTAATTGGCAAACATTGCCCATTGATCTAAAAGATTAGTGAGGTAATCTAGTTTTGCTCAGCTTTAGTGTTAGGAGGATGATTTGGCTAGATAAAAGTGTAGTATTTCGACACTGCAAATTTCCAGTCTTAAACAAGATATGCTCTTTGGTCAGAAAAGCAGAATACTTTAAGAATTTTGTAAACTAGTGTGCTTTTTTCCAATAAGGTATCAGTCCTGTAGCCCTCATAAAAGGGCAGAGAAATCTCAGTTTTCAAGGTAGAGGGAAGAAAGCCCTGAAGTCTAAATGCAAGAGTAGTAAAACAGAACTAAGTTTGAATGCAAAGCATTTAAATTCAGATATTGGATTGGAAAACACCCTCCTACATGGAACTGTTGGTGATATTAGAGTTTACTCCTGAGGCAGTTCTGCACTAAACTTACAGTACTGTGAGCAGAATTTAAAATTCATATAAAATCACAAAATATGATCACACTATTTTGAATAATTTTGATAATTTATTTCAAAATACTCGACAGCAAATAACTGAATTGAATACTACATTATTTTGACAAAATATGCAGAATAAAAAGCTTTGCCATACAGTTAACTTTAGGTATAGAATTACCTTGACTACTAGGATTCTGTTTGATAGTTTCAGTGTGAACAGCTTGGGGGTTGGGTCTAGATCAGGGGTGATCTGGATATAAAGACCTAAGGGAAGGGAGCATAGTCTGGATGCAGAGAGAATAGGACTCTGTTAGGGAGTGCAAGTGACGGTGGTTAGAACTGGGGAGGGAGGCTAGAGTGGGGTTTGGTGGGGTGGGGGTAAGGTTTGATGGTGGGAGGGGTTTCCAGTGCAGGAGAGGTTTTGTGGAGAGAGTGCTTTTGAAAGGGAAGCAGCTCCCCCACTTTCTCAGCTATGATAGTAAGTCAATGCATGTGTGGAATTTCATTGTATTCCAGATATACACAAAAATAACCCTCTAACTGAAATTCATGCCCCCCTATGATTAAATATACAAATTAACAAATTCAATTTTTGGTGGAATAAATTCAGTGCTAATATAGTTTTGAAATTCTACATGAATGTTTTCAGCAAAACGTTTGTAGGCAGTGAAGTTCCTTAATGACTTCATTCAGACAGTATTCAGTCATGAACTAATCTGTTGTCTACTGATAGCATGGTGTTTAGTTCACCTGCATAACACGTCATCTTATACCATTATTAGTTGCTGAGGACTCTGGACATATTTCCTCTCAACATTCCACTAAGCTTTTAACTTATATCTGAGGGACCTTTTACTTTAAGAGTCTGCAGGCAAGAACAAACCACACTAATTTCTTGTTCTTTCTCAAGGAGAGCCAAGCTGTTCCGGTTTGCTTCAGAGAATGATCTGCCGGAATGGAAAGAGCGAGGCACTGGAGATGTGAAACTCTTAAAACACAAGGAGAAAGGAACCATTCGCCTCCTTATGAGAAGAGACAAGACCTTAAAAATATGTGCAAATCATTATAGTATGTTTCATTACTTAATGTAACTTCCCTTTGCTCAATTTTTTTGTGTGCAACGTGCATATCAAGTCTTATAAGATTTGTGCATATTTTGTTTACGCTTAATATTGGAAGTATGTTCTAGCAGCAGCAAATAGACAGGTGCATCCATTTTGATGCCTGTTTTACTTATTAACTGCACAGTTCCATAATACAAGTTATTTTGATGCCATATATACCTAGTGTAACAAAGCCTCTTCAGATGTTTATCCATTTTCAAGATCATTGGAATGTGTAGTGTGAAAGTTCTGCAGAGCCTCAAATTTAATGTGGAATACAGTTCTTCCACTGAAACGGTTTAAATGGCTAAAAGGATTGTCTGCACATAAGTAGAGGGGGGGAAAGTGTGAACCGAAATCAGACGTGGACAGTTTACTGAAGAGATGTTTGAAGCAACTGAAAAGTATAATTGAAAATGGCATTTTAATATTCTCCTACAAACACTACCTTTTTGTGTAGAAGACTTTTATCTTTAGAGTTGGCATTGCAGAGTGCATACTGACTTCATAAGATGTTCAAAATGATATCCAGGCCTCTTTGCCAAATGCATTTACAATACACAGTAGACTTCTGATAATCCGGAACCTTTTGGACCTAGGTGGTGTCGGATTATCAGATTTGCCAGAGAATCGGGAGGTCCAGTACAGCTGCACGGCTTAACAGCTGGCCAGGACACAATCTCCCTCCCTCTCCTCTCCTCTCCTGCAATCTGCTCCTTCTCCCCCAACCCTCCCCTTTCCCCTTCCCTGAAGCAAAACCACCTTCTCCATACTGTAACACGGTCCCATTCCTCCCGCCTCCCCCAACCTTATGCTCTGTCTGGTTACAGCCAGCATATGTGCTGAGTGGCAGGCTTTTTAATCAGCTGGCCAAGAGTGCTTGGCATTTTGATGCTGGAGTATGGGGAGTGCCGAACAGTTGGATGCTGGACTATCATTTTTACTATAGATGGTATAGCATCTGGTGTATGTTTTTTGTTTGTCTAAGGACTCAGCATTTAAAAGATGAACAAAAACTTGAACTATGGCTTCATCAAGTTTGTGGCTTTCTGCTGAAACTATAGTTTTTCTAGTTTTAGAGCATTTGATCCAGAAAAGGGTAAACAAGGGAGTTAAAGCAATGGCTCTCTGAATATTTGTAGAGTTTGTCATTGCAGGATATAAAGGAAGAAGGGAGAAATTGCTTAAGTGAATAATCTCAGGAAGGCTCTGTCTAAAATTCAAAAGATTATCAGGAAGATTTACAACTTATTTGGGTGTTCTTGAAGCATCTGTATTGACCACCATCAAAATACTTTAAGACCATTGACCTTTCAATAGGGGAACTTACTCTAAAATGAGATTAATTTGGAGCTGACTCTCTTTATAGTTTAATAAGTGTGTAATTAGCACACTGGCAGTATTTGCTTCCCATAGCAGATTGTTCTAAAATGTGAGAGAACAGTATGTATATCATCCCTTCCCCCATGCACAATAGTGAGAAATAACTTTGAATTGCAGTTACCTGTGAGGTATAAGATGTTTGGTGTCTGAAGAGCAACTTTCAGTCTTTGTGGGGCTTTAGTCAGAATACATTTCAAAATGTAAATTGCAGATAGGACTAATCAGTCCTTTTTTTCTTTGTAGTTACACCATTAATGGAGTTGAAGCCAAATGCTGGAAGTGACCGGGCATGGGTCTGGAACACGCATGCTGATTTTGCAGATGAAAGTCCTAAGCCTGAACTTCTGGCAATCCGCTTTCTAAATGCAGAAAGTAAGTGAAGGCACAAGATTGTTTTCTTCTGATAGGGCTCGTCTACACTGGCCCCTTTTCCAGAAGGGGCATGTAAATTTCACCAATCGTAGTAGGGAAATCCGCGGGGGATTTAAATATCCCCCGCGGCATTTAAATAAAAATGTCCGCCGCTTTTTTCCGGCTTTTAAAAAAGCCGGAAAAGAGCGTCTACACTGGCCCCGATCCTCCGGAAAAAGCGACCCAACTCCCTCAGCCTCTCCTCATAGGTGAATAAGAGCCTCCGGAAAAGGGCACTTTTTCCGGAGGATCGGGGCCAGTCTAGACGTTCTTTTCCGGCTTTTTTAAAAGCCGGAAAAAAGCGGCGGACATTTTTATTTAAATGCCGCGGGGGATATTTAAATCCCCCGCGGATTTCCCTACGACGACTCATGAAATTTACATGCCCCTTCCGGAAAAGGGGCCAGTGTAGACGTAGCCATAGTGTATATATGTACCTTAAGCAGTAACCTTGGGTCATTTAGTATGTACAGTAGTAAATGTGAAAGTAGGTATGACTAACTAACTTTTTTGTAAGTTCCAATGGTAGAAAAGAATAAACACTTCCTGTATTTTAAAGGATTATTCCACTGGCTATAAGCACTCAAAATGGGCTGAGAGAGTGCCTATAAAGACTGTCCCTTCTAAGTACTGCATTAGAATTAATTAAATGCATCTAGGTAACTAGTAATGCTCAGAACATGTAGATAAATGGAGCTGTTATGCTTCACTTTCCGTCTAACATCATCTTTAGCACTAACTTCTTTTGCCTCTAAGTGTGACACTCTTTTCAAGAGTGCTTGTTAATGTTCCCAGATTTAATGCAGTAAAATTCTAGAATGTCAACCAAATGTATTCACTTTACTTTCACTAATGAATTTGACTTCATATCTTAATGAAGATTAAATTTGTGGCGTTACAAATATTGTATGGAAATTATCCTCTTTCACTGAGTCTTATTCAGTCTAATCTCCCTGTGACACTTATACTTGACTGCTACACTGAAAAAGTATTTGGTATTCCTGTCCACTTGCCTCTTCCTTCTGATAGAGGGTATTTCATTTGATAACTGGAGTAGAATAATCCTAACAATCAGACAACTGGGATGGGCAAAAGGCAAGCCACTCGATCCAGTCCATGGCCACCTCACTGGAACCCTAGGCAGAGATCAGTTCATGTTTTAAAAAGCTAGCAGTTTTACAGACAGCTGAGGAGAAAGAAGGGAGACTTCTGATGCTATTCCTGCTCCCAGCAAAATCTCTTAGCTTCCATTTGCCACTCTGTTTCTAGCCAAAAGTAGCCAAGAAATTTTGCTGGGAGCCCACTCGATCCAGTCCATGGCCACCTCACTGGAACCCTAGGCAGAGATCAGTTCATGTTTTAAAAAGCTAGCAGTTTTACAGACAGCTGAGGAGAAAGAAGGGAGACTTCTGATGCTATTCCTGCTCCCAGCAAAATCTCTTAGCTTCCATTTGCCACTCTGTTTCTAGCCAAAAGTAGCCAAGAAATTTTGCTGGGAGCAGGGGCAGTGTAGGAAGCCTTCTCCCCCCTCCCTTCCAGAACAGAGCCACATGAAGCACAAGCAGCCTGCAGCAGTCAGGCTGCCTCAGGTAAGCACTTCCCAGCTAGAGCCTACCGCTGGCACTCCAGCCCCTCTTCCCCAATCCTCTGATCCCCATCAACATACCCCAGTCTCTTGCCCTAGATCATAATCCCCTTCTACCTTAGGTTACAACCCCAACTCTTGTACCCTATCCACCTGCCCTAGGTCACATCTACCGCCTACACCTAAATTCCCTCCCAGACTCGATTCTCCCTCCTGCTCCCTACTCCAAGCTCCCTTCTGCACCAACCTCCATTCCAGACTGTCCTCCCCCTCCCCCCCATTAATATCCTGGAAGAGTGCAGCCCTCAACCATTTTCCAAAATCTTGGAGTGGCCCCTCAGCAAAAATTATTTCCCACCCCTGACCGAACTTGGACAATAGGGTGTAGTAAATCTTTGGATTGTTATTGTATGGTATAACCTTCTCAGTTACAGTAGTGTGACCAATCAGAGTACAAGATTCTGGTTGTGTTCTTTCATGTTGATGAAAAGCTTTGAGCACTGTGGAGGAATTCCACTCCTGTTCAAGGGTGTGTTTCATATCTGTAGTGAAGACTTGCCTTTTTCCTGCCATCTATCTGTTCAAAATATCAAACTAAATTGACTACTCTATAGCCTCTAGGTGACTTAGGAGAATAGATGCCAGTTGTAGAGAATTGGAGGTGAAATTATTTGTCTGGTAATGCTTGAGAATTCCAGCTAGGAGTGATTAGGGACCATACAGACATAGAATGGAAGCAACTTTGCCATGGATATCTTACAAAATGACAAATTGTAGTGGTTTTGCCTGGCACATCCCTATTTGGAATGCCTGACTGTGTTCACTCCTAAATAGAAAATACAAAGACTGAGAGAATGAGTGTTCATAAACATGGCTACTACACTTCTTCCCTTGCCACCATACCCCCTTAGGCTATATCTACACTGCATTTTTTTCGCCCCAGAAGGGTACGCAAATTTAAAACCACAATTTGCATATCTTTTTCCACTGTTTTTTTTCGGAAGAGGCTTTTTCCGACATTGGGCCCATTCGCACAGGGCCAAAGTCAGAAACCTCTTTAGGAAGATCACTCATTCCTGAATGAGGAATACAGGGATGCCAAACATGCCTGCTTTTTTGGAAACTTCTGAAAAAGCAGATGCATTCCCTGGATGAGGCTGTGTGGGTGTAGTTTTTTGTTTGGTTTTGTTTTCTCACTCCAGGATACATCTGACATCGCAGAAACTCTGCGGTCTACACATAGCCTTAGATGATGAAGACAGCTAGTGAACTGCTGTCCTGGGGCTTCTATAACATCTTACAGTTGTGTATCAGGCATACAGAGAACACTGATTGCACAACTAGCTTAATCTGGCTATTTCAACTCCTAAGGGTCACTCTTGGAATGGGTGATGTACTGCAACTCTTCTCATTTGACCGTAAGCAGTTCATGCAGCAAAAAGGGTGTCAGTCACACACTACTTCTGGCTGCTTATTGTGAATTGTAGATAGCTATCAGGGTGTATTGATTTAAATCAAGTTACCAAAAAACTATGACTATTTAGAGTATGCTTAATTTTGGAGGAAGCCATTGAACCCACTTTCTGGCTTAAGAAAACGAGTATAGGATGGAGTTCTCTTGGAAAAGCTGAGTTTTATGCTGAAGTAAAATAGGGAATAGACTTGTGACATCATGGCCACCGACCATAAGGGTGGTGGCTCAAAATAAGGAGCATGGATTATATCAAAAAATAAAAGGACACTCGGTGGCAACTCCAGACTTCTTACTGCAGTGTTCTGTACTGTGTACTTGGACGATAAATTCTAAATCAAGAAATTCTAAATTAAATAAGCCATAAGGATTAGCCAAGCTAAACCTCTTCTCTAGCAGCAGTGCCAAGGGAGGTTGTGGAATCTCCATTTTTTGAGATATTTAAGAGCAGGTTAGATAGACATTTCAAGGATGGTCTAGACCAGTGGTTCCCAAACTTTTTGGCATCATGCCTCCTTTCTGATTTTTGAGAAATCATCACATCCATTCCCCCCCCAAAATAGCAGCAAAACTGGTTGGGAAAAAAATTGCCCTTTTAAGAGCAGAGCAGGCATTGCACTTTTAAATTGTCTGTTTTGAAGTCTGACCGGGATGTTTTTTTTTTTAAACCAGACATACTGGGCTCTTTCTTTGGGGGAGGGGGTTGCTTTGTGCCCCCCTAGAATCTCTTCATGCCCCCCCGAGAGGCATGCCCCCCAGTTTGAGAACCTATACTACATAATTCACTTTGCAATGCTTCATTCAGGTTACTAGCCAGACCCAATCAATCATACTCATATCTTCATCTACATTTTACCCCAGTAAGCAACTTTCCTTATGATTCATTCTTGCAACTGAGCCTGATGTCTTGCACTGCTTACACTTAACACATTTTCCTTTGTTTACTTTGGGAATATTTTGAAGAAATTTGTGGCCTCAAAGGATATCTATTACATCCAGAAGCTGTGGCAGTTGTGGGAGAATATAGGAAGCTGTGTGCATGCTGAATAACATTTTCCCTTTTTCTTCTCAATTATTTCCATCCTTTCTATATATTCACTGTTTTTGACTGTCCTGCTTGTAAAGATCCACCAACACAAGCACAGAGCAAAAATAATCCTATTCAACTTGTGTCTGTACACATGTTACTTATTAGTCTGAGAAATAAATTGAAAGTCCAGAACTTTCAAGAAGCAAGAGCTAATAGTTTGGATGGACTAGAGTTATTAATTCATTTTTGAGACTGTAAATAGATCTATATCATGTTTTGTGACTAACTTTTTAAATGATAAACTTAGTATTGATTTGAAACTCCAATTCAATTGTAAATTGATTTTTATCCAGGTTGGATTGCATGCTAATATCCCTATTCCAGAGTTAGCATTTTCATTTACCACCGTCTTACCTTCTGCCTAACGTGCCAAACTAGAAGTTTTCATTTAGCTATCAGCATTTTCCATAGCAGTTAGGACCTTGTGACCGATCCAGGAGGAACTTAAAGCATGATGTAAAAGTAGGCTATGTATTAACACGCTGGCAAAAAATGTTTTCCTTTTCTAACGTGATTTTATCTTAGACAAACTTACTGAAACAACCTTCAATTTAAACCCTTAAATCCCCTACAAAAATATGCATGAAAGCTTAGAAATGAGATTTTAACATTCTCTTTGAGTTGGGAGTGAAAGAGGGCTTTCATTGTTTCCTTTATACACTGCCTTGCATTAGCAGATGAGGCTAGAAAGCAGACTTAGTGGATTTTAAATTCTGGTTCTGCCAAATGGTGTCACTATGCAAGATGAACTCCCTTTCAAAGAGGTGCACACTCCCAAGAGTCTAAAATATCCAGTCTCTTAACATGCAATTTCCAGTGGTACAATAGTGACCTCAAGTGGCCAGTCAGCCCATATTGAGAATCCTTAAATTATTCTTTCTAGTTCTTTTTGGCAGTGACTTGACTATCATTAGTGGCCTCTCAGATTATTTCAGTTAGGAGGACTTGGAGGAATGTTTGTTTAATTGAACTGATTGATAGCCATTATCAATTTCTGTATTTAAAATGGAACTGCTCAAAACACTTCAACCTACATGATTGGTTCTGAAGTATGCTGTCTTCAAAAGAATTCTCAAGTTACAGCAAACGAGCCATGATGCCTCATCGCCATTGTGTGTGGGAGTGGTGCTTCTGTGTTTAACACAAAGTACTATATAGTTTGCTCATGAAGTTTAGATTTTTCAGCTCTAGAAACAAACTTTCCCTTCAGGTGCAGTGTAAGCAGTGGTGGTGCAAACTCTCCTTTCCTCTGGAGATGGTTCCACCAGAATACAGCTAGATGTGAGAAAATAAGTGTCCGTGGTCCTTTCAGTCCTTGGCCCTTTAGACTGTAAATGAGTGTGTGGTACATAAGAACGGCCGTACTGGATCAGACCAAAGGTCCTACTAGCCCAGTATCCTGTCTGCCGATAGTGGCCAGCACCGGGTGGACTGAAGACAATGATCAAGCGATTTGGCCCCTGCCATCTCTCTCCAGCCTCTGACAAACAGAGGCCAAAGACACCATTTTATCGCCTGGCTAGAAGGCTTTTATGGACCTAACCTCCATGACATTATCTAGTTTCTCTTTAAACTCTGTTATAGTCCTAGCCTTCACAGCCTCCTCTGGCAAGGAGTTCCACAGGTTGACTACACACTGTGTGAAGAAGAACTTTCTTTTATTAGTTTTAAACCTGCTACCCATTAATTTCATTTGGTGTCCTCTAGTTCTTCTATTTAATAAATAACTTTTCTTTATCCACCCTCTCCACACCACTCATGATTTTATATACCTCTATCATATCCCCCCTCAGTCTCCTCTTTTCTAAACTGAAAAGTCCCAGTCTCTTTAACCTCTCCTCATATGGGACCCA